TCTCAGGCCTGTCCGCAGCTGCAGGTATCGGAGTGGACGACCTGCGCAGGCTGTGCATCGTGAGACTGAGCTTCGTGAAGGGCTGGGGCCCGGACTACCCGCGCCAGAGCATCAAGCACACCCCCTGCTGGGTGGAGGTGCACCTGCACCGCGCCCTGCAGCTGCTGGACGAGGTCCTGCACACCATGCCCCTGTCCGACCCGGGCCCGGCCCACTGACCCGCAGGGAGCGAACTCCCGCCCAAGGGGGACCTGGGTCAGAGCTGCGGACACAGGTGACCGACCCGAGCCGCCCTGACCTGAGACCCCGGTCCAGAACCTCTCGCCCACAGCTGACCCCCCCCCAGCACCAACAGACCTGGGTCCAGATCCTCTAAAGGCAGGCTACTGGGTCAGTACCGCACAACCACTGGTCGGGAACCAAACCCAGGCACCGTGCACGGGGTCTGGCCGGTTCTGGTCCGAAAGAAAAGAACAGAAACCTGCCTCCAAACTGACCTGGCTGGGCACCCAGTAGGAGCACTGACCCTTGGGCCGACCACAAGACTCGGAACACAGCACCCCCTCCCTCCCCTTTGCTCCCACAGAACCAGACCGAGCGACTGGCTGGGGCTCGACCTGGGCGAGCTCTGCCCAGGATGTCCAGGGCCCCGTCCCAGGGCCGCTGGGCTTCATGGGTACATCTGTAACCAAAAGAAACGGAGAGCAGGGACGAGACCTCCCTGATCGCACTCAGTCTGGGGACCAAAACTTTAATTAACCAAAAATCGTATACCACTTTGCCAAAATATGTAGTCTCACCAAAGCCTCAATACGTTGAAATCGGTGTTAAGCCACGACGTAGTCAGCAGTGTTTTCACTCGCGCTGTAGCTTTGTCTGTGTTAGAGAGTACGTGTGCGCTGTCTGCTTCCTGGCGAGAGCAAAGGTTCAGTTCTAGTGTAGGACACGAAAGGGACACACTAATAAAGTCTTTGAGATACATTTCCTTCTGCTGTGTATTTCTTAACCTGCTCCTCTTAACGAGTAATCACCAGCCCCCAGGACACAGTATAAACCCCCAGACACTGGGACACACAGTATAAACCCCCAGACACC